AGTGCAAATACTCAAGTCATGGCCAGGAGCATTTGCCTACAAAATTCGTGGTCTGCGCAATAGTGAAGAGCTGTTCCCGGTTGCTACACAACCGATCAGATAACGCATGCTTGTAGGATACACCCACACATGCACAAGTGTTCTGTTTGAGAAGACCGTTTACAAAGTGGCATGCCATAGAACTGGCACGGCCAGGTCAAAGCAGGTTCCTGTTGCATGGATCGTCCTCGGATACCATCCTGTGTTGGTCGCCGAGAAGCGACGGCTGATTTTCCATTAGAGCACGAGTGAAAAACTCAGGCTTCTGTTTGCAAAGGCTTTTCGTTAGAGAATGTGGGAGTGCAGGCAAGCAGTGGGCCTGAGCTGGCGCAACAGCGCGCCGTCACTCATATCGATGATCGTTTCTGAAAGTATGCATGTACATTAACGGTGTGGTGGATGGGGGTGGTGGTGGTGGTATGTCAGTGCTGCACATCCGTAGCCTTTGGGGCTCTAGCGGAGCAGATCGGAAGGTAGGTAGTAAGCACGCAACCGCTCGCCGGCCTCGAAGAAAAATAATCACCCTTTGACCCTTATTGCTCATTTGTTTGGGGGTGCGGGAGGCGCCGTGGCCTCTACCCCCATGGGCACAGGGCGTCAGCTCAGGGATATACGGTAAAAAATCCGCCGACCGTGTGTCGGCGCGTGTGAGGGGGAGTTGTTTCGTCCCCGGGTCGTTCTCAAATCCTCAGACACGATTCTCGTTCGATTTTCTTTTCCGAGAGACTTTCCCAAGACCCTCTTTGGCGCCCCGAGCTGGTCAACTCGAGGTGAAACGAGCCAAATCGCAAACCGCCGTCGTCGTTGTTGTCGTCGCCGTGGTCGTCGCCGCCGCCGCCGTCGTCGTCGTCGTCGCCGCCGCCGCCGCCGCCACCGCTGTCGTCGTTAGTCGTTAATCGTCGTCGTCGCCGTCGTGGTCGTCGTCGTGGCCGTCGCCGCGCCGCCACCGACGTCGTCGCCGCCGCCGCCGCCGCCGTCGTCGTCATCGTCGTCGTTGTCATCGCCGCCGCCGCCGTCGTCGTCGCCGCCGCCGCCGTCGTCGTCGTCGTCGTCGTAATTAGTCGCTACCGCCGACGCCGCCGCCGCCGCCGTCGTCGTCGTCGTCGTCGTCGCCGTAGACGTCGTCGTCGTTGTCGTCGTCGTCGTGGGCATCGTCTACGAAGCAACATCCCGCCATCCCCGGCGACATTCGGGGCCAAATGCTCGTGATGCCACTCGAGTTCCTCAAATATGGTCGGCGCTCAAGCGGGAGTTCATTTTGAGTCTTCGCGCCGCAAGCGCTTACCGGAACCCACCGGCACCGCCACCGGAGCGCACCGGCAGCGGGGCCGGCGTCAGGTTAGGTGCCCGGCGTCAGGTTAGGGGGGGGGCTTGTATGGGGGCGCAGGGCGCTAGCTCAGAGATATACGGTAAGAAAACCGCCGACCCCGTGTGAGGGGGAGTTTGTCGTCCTCGGGTCGTCCTCAAATACTCAGACATGATTCTCGTTTGATCTGCTCTTCCAGTCCCGGAGACTTTCCCACGACCCTCTTTGGCGCCCCGAGCTCGCCATCTCGAGGTGAATCGAGCCAGGTCGCAACCGAAGTCGTAATTGAATCGAAGGGAGGCCCTTTCCCGTTGATCCCTTCCCAACCAGGGGGGGGGGGTCATGGGGGATCCTGGCTCAGAATGCTGTCAACCCCCCATCCCTTGTCGGGTAGCTTTCGAGCGAATTTAGCCCTCCTTCGGCAATTCAGGTCCAAGATGCTCCAAAATGGGCCTAAGAGGGCCCAGAGTTCCCAAGCGATCGCTGCAAGACGCCCACGATGGCCTCCAAACTGCCTAAGACGCCTCCAAGACGCCCCCACGAAACTGCATTAGGACTCCCAAGAAGGCCCCAAGAGGCACATTTCATTTACTGACAGTTCGTGGTTGAATGAGTTTCGCGTTTCTGGTTTTCAGCTTCCCGACGCTCCAAGACAGCCCAAGAGGCCCCAAAGCCCTCGTCAAAACAGTCTACTTACGAAGCCGTCGCAAGGGCGCAGAGACGGCCAACGATGCCCGCAAGACGGCCCAAGAGGCCTCCAAGGCTGCCGAAGAGAGCCCCCAGAACTCCCAAGAGGGGCCCCAAAGGGCGAACACGAAGCGACATTTCGGCTTCACCGCCTTACGAGGTTCGCGGGAAGCTCAAAGAGGCTCCAAAGAGGCCCCCAAGATGCCCCAAGAGTCCCCCGAAAGGCCTACGGGAAAGCCCAAGACGCCCCCAAGCGGCTCCCAAGCGGCCTCACGACTGCTTCCAGAGGCCCCCGAGAGAACACACCGCACCGATCGCAAAACATGCACTAGCCAGAGCGATGCAACTCGTGGCCTAGCGCCTCGCCGCGCAAGGCCGACGGGATCAGGTGTTCCCCCTCCACCCGCGCCACGACGAAACGGCGGTCCACCCGAACCTTCCCCTTGCATGGCATGCGCCTCAGGGCCCTCTTGGCCTTGGGGGGCAGGGCAAGCCTACAGCGCACAGCACATCTCCAAGCGTCCCGAGACCAGACGAGAGCCCGGGACTTCTCCCCTTCGAGGGGGAGTGGGAGGGAAGAGGGGGGAGCACGAGGGCGATGAGCAATTGGGACGGGAATGTGACCTCTACTACCTCAGAATGCCATTCAGATAAATAATATCACAGCCCCCCCATCAAACAGAACGTCCTCATATCCCCCTCCTCCTCCCCCATTCACCTCCTCCTCCTCTTCTTCATTCTCCTTTCCCACGTCGCAATCGTCCTCCTCCGAACCAACCGCATCATCATCACCATCATCATCATCATCATCATCATCATCATCATCATCATCATCATCATCATCATCATCATCATCATCACCAGCACCATCACCATCACCATCATCATCATCATTATCATCATCATCATCATCATCATCATCATCATCATCGTCGTCGTCGTCGTCGTCGTCATCATCAGCATCATCATGATGTCCATTGTGATCATCATCAAGGTCTTCGTCATCAATATACTCCTCATCATGGTCCTGCTCATCCTCCCCCTTCTCCTGCTCCATCCTCCACCTCTCCCTTCATTTCTGCGACCCCCCTCCCCTCACTCTTCCTCATCCTTTTTGTTCATCCTTCCTCCCTCATCTCCGCTTCCTCCTCCCGGGCTCCCCCCTCCCTCGCCCCCTCTCCTCCTCCGCCTCCTCCTCGTCGCGATAGCGAGGGATCACCGCATCACGTGGAACGCGAGAACCCCAGCAGCAGCAGCAGCAGCAGCAGCAGCAGCAGCAGCAGCAGCAGGAACAGGAGGAGCAGGAAGGGGAGCAGGAGCTGGATCAGCACGATCCCTGAACACGCGGAGGGCGGGGCGTTCTCGGGAGCCCGTTGGGCCGCCCTGGGCGGTCGGGAGCCCGAAAAGACGGGACGCCAAAATCCTGCAGAGAAGCCAACAAATCAATGAATGGAATTGAAGCTCAAGGGTCTCTGTTGGTGCTGTATTGGACCATCGCGGGACTGTCTTGCGGCGTCTTGGGACTCTTTTCGGGCCATCTTTGGGCTGGCCACCCATTGATCCTTATTCTGGGGCGCTCTCGGAACTCCCTTGGGGTCCGTTGTGGCGCTTCTGGGGCGCTCCTGGGGGTCCTGAAAACCGCCGCCAGGAGTTGCATCCATGACCCCCACCTTGCCGAGACGTTGCTGGGGCTTGCCCGGGGCATTTTTCGCCCGGTCCCCCAAGAGCCGCCACGCGCGCGCGAACTAGAACTACTCTGAATTTCGCACAAGAGATTTGAACACACCTCAGGTCCATTGGGCCGGCAAAATACGACCACCGTAACTCAGCTTCGCTTCAGCTTCGGATGCGGTTCAAATCATAAGCCACTTGTCTTACCATAGACCGTGGGGGGTAGTGTGCAGTCGCAAGCATTGTCTACGTTTTGCCAAGATTAGTTTCGGTTGGACTCGCTTGCATTTGGTAGCGGATGGTTTCACATGATTGGGAGCATAGCGCGTCTCTCCACACTGACCAAGCGTTTCCCGGACCGGGGCCCCTCACTTTAAGAGAAGCCCTTTTCTGAAAGCGGAGGTTCCTGGCCTTGGAAAAGCTTGGGAGTGAGAGGGGGAAAAGGAGGGAGGGGCCTAGCGCCCCCCCTGCATGGATACTTGGGCGGTCTGCGGGGGGGGGCCGTCGGCAGCCCAAAAGGGCCCCCGCGCCTCTTGCAAACAAATGTTAATTTTGTTCGGGCCCGCGCCAGTTGCCTCCAAAACGCTTCCAATAACCAAATCGAAGAAAGTACGTACAAGACTGGTCTATCCAGCTTGTTTCTACCTTCCCTGCCATCGGCGGTGGTGGTCCTGGCATCGACCATGCGGGCGCTGCGCGGGGTGGCTCTGGCTGGCGCCTCCAGCACCGAATAAGGGCTCCTCTTCCCCTTCCGAGTCTGGGGTCTCCTGGCGGCGTTGAGCGCACCGGTGGCCCCATCCCCCGAGTTGCTTACCGATCAGCGGAGCGCCCGCCTACCCCGCAACGAACGACAGAGCCATGCGAGGGGGGGCCCTGCGTTCCGGCCCACGCAGCACATGTCCGAGGTCTAGATATCGTCGTTCAAGATCGGCGCTGGTCGGGGCAGGTCTCGCGTAAGTGGCCCAGGCGATCCCGTCCGTGGCCCAGGCGATCCCGTCCGCGGCGCAGGATTCGCAATCGTTTGCGTCAGTGCCCACCCCCGCGGGGCCCGTCACCGGGGGGCGTCCCTCGGTCAGCGAGGCGGACGGGCAGGACAGCAACAACGTAGACGCATTCCCAATCCCAGGGTGCATCCGGCGAAGCTGCGCACGATGCGTTTCGTCGTGGCCGCCCTTTGGGCCTTGTGGGCGCGGCCCCCTACGGGGGCGTCCTCGTCGGGATCCAGGATCGCGCAGGCGCCCGCCCCGGCGCGGCAGCGGGCATGCCGTGCCACGTCGGCCGGGCAAGCACGCGCGCTTCACTCCCAACGTAGGTGCAGGACCTTCGCGGCGGCGCGTTCCAGATTGGCGCGCAGGGCCGGGTCGGTGCAACTGTGGAATTCCGCGCAAGGGCACAGCTGCCCGTAGCGATCGTGGGTCTCGAAAGAGTCTCCGTAAGGGCCCTGGTCAAGACGCGCTCTCTTCCCGTCCGCGACAACAGCGAAGTGGTTGGGGGGGGTGTTTCCCGCGGGCGTTCGGTGCCTGAGCGGCGCCTTTGCCTGACAGGATGGCACATGGATACAAATCCTACACATGATGTATCTTGGCCTCACTTTACACTTGCGTCCGTAGTCCGGCGATTGCAGACCAGAGGATGCATCGACCTCGCGCGGTTGCGAGAAGATGCTTTGTGGAAAAAAATTATCCCGGCAAAGCAACCTAACAGCCATGTGTAGGAGCATATCTGGAAGCATCCCCCCTTAAGATTCGGATGAGAATCCAGTTGTAGAATTCTGCTGTTCTCGCAGTCGTTGTCGCATTCGCGAGGACAGTCGCAGTGGCAACGGCAGTCGCAGTCACAGCCTCAGCCTCAGCCTGCCTCAGCCTCAGCCTCCGCCTGCCTCAGCCTCAGCCTGCCTCAGCCTCAGCCTCAGCCTGCTTTAGCCTCAGCATCAGTCTGCCTTCGGCCTCGGCCTCAGCCTCAGCCTGCCTCAGCCTCAGCCTGCATCAGCCTCAGCCTCAGCCTCAGCCTGCCTCAGCATCAGCCTGCCTCAGCCTCAGCCTCAGCCTGCCTCTGCCTCAGCCTCAGCCTGCTTCAGCCTCAGCCTCAGTCTGCCGTCGGCCTCGGCCTCAGCCTCAGCCTGCCTCAGCCTCAGCCTGCATCAGCCTCAGCCTCAGCACGAAGCGACCCAGCTAGAAGGACAAAGCGCTGAATGTACACCGATGTGTTCGACGACTGCGTATGTAATGATGTGACGATATACAGACTGAGCCCTTCGTGAATGTCTACATGTTTTTCTGACGCCTACAAACGGCGCTGACGTGTGTGAGAAAATTGTCCGCGCAGCAAAAGCCGGCGAAGCGTGCGGGAGCTCGCATGCTGAGACAGACTACGTCTGCAGACCGCCAGCTGCAAAAAGTTGCGAGCGGCTCTTGGAAGATGTTTACGGAACGGAGCTACGGTGTCTGAAAACATTGGCATCGAAGGGAAGAGCCTCGGAGCCCTGCAACCTGAGAAACACCGCAGGAACTCGCATACTGAAAAGGAATGCATTGCAAACCGCACGCTGCGAACCCTGCAGGCTGAGAAGCACCGCAGGATGTCGCATGCTGAAAAGCACTTGTACTGCAGAGCGCTAGCATCTATCTCGGGCTCGGACCCCCCCGTCCTGATCCAGAACGTGTCCGGCCACGGCCTGAAAATGCCGTTCCAACTCCCGAGGATCAGCTGGCACTCCGGCTCTGGGACACTCCAGTACGTCTTGAGCACCTTGAGCCAGGCCCCATCTCGGGATCCCCACAGCACGCTGTACTTGACCGAGACCGTGCCGAACTCATAACAATTGACCTCCGAAGGACCTGCGAGTGCAGGCTGAGAAACACCACGCGATTGCAGGGCACGGCATTGCGTGTCACATGAGTGCAGGCTGAGAAGCACCACATCTCGTTTGCCAGAGATCACTCCCAGGTTATTTGATCCCGCAACACCAGCCACGGCGTAGCTGCCACAGGGGCCGCAGATAGCAACGGTTCGGTCACCCAATTGGCGTTCCGGTGAGTCACAATTCGCGCGTGGCTCCACGAGCCTGTGTAGCGCGATTTGCGGGGCACCAGTGTGCTGTAGGTGTTGTTGCCGTAGCAGAAGACGGCCTCTGGAGCCCAGTGCGGATTCCAGCGGACAGCGTAGACCCTGTGGACGCCATTGCGGATGACGTCGCGCGCACCTTCGATATGTGCCACCCATCGAAGCCAGTCAAATGCTGAGCCATCGGTGATGTCAACAGCACCTGGGGCAGTCTCGCCATGGTGGTAGTGCAACAGCGATTGGAGAGCGGCGCTGGCTTCGTCGCGGCCCACAATCTGGCGCGAGCAGGCTGCCTCTTGCAGGTGCTCCTGTGTGAAGAGCAGTGGGGCATCACCGCCAGTCTCGGCAGGCTGAGCAGCGCCACCGTCAGGCACGGCAGTCTGAGCAGCGCCGCCACGAGGAACATGAGGCTGAGCAGCGCCAGGCTCAGGCACGGCAGGCTGAGCAACGGCGCGTGGTGGACCGACATAGGTGGGCTCATCGGGTCGGCCGTTCTTATGGTAATGCAGGCGCATGGCTGAACCGTCTGCACGACGGAACTCGAAGAAGTGCCTGCCGTGGCCATCCGTGTTGGAGTAGTTAGGGTCGCGCTCTGTCTCGATGATGCGAAAGAGAACCTGGGCGATGCCCTGCCCGATTATGCGCTCAGCGAAACCCGGAGCGGCAGACCGAAGCAGTTGCTTCCAGTCGTAGGACGGGTCGTTTGTTACGTCTTTGAACGACAAGTTGTTGACAATGCACTCGGCGCGCAGCGCGCGCTGCCACTGGCAGGCGGTCTTGCCGCCCATCCCTGGTGTACGGCGGATGTCTTCGAGGTGAGCCTGCTCAAAGACCACGTCGACACCTGGCTGAGGAGTCGGTGCGGGCGGATCCGGCAGAATCTCCCACGGGCCATCGCACGGGGCCGGGGGTGGCGGGGGCGATGCCTTGCCGCGTGCTGGCATTGTGACAAGGCAGGCTGAGGAGCACCGCCGCGGCTGGACGGCCAGGTGAAACTCGAGCAAACATGGTTAAGGATGATGATGATGGTGTTGATAGGAAACCCGGTATCAGCGAGTTGATGTACAATGAGGTGTCCGCAAACGAGACACTGCTGTCAACGCTGTTATAACTAACCACAAACGAGACACTGCTATCAACGCTTGCACAATTAAAAAGAAACGCTGGCATTGACACTACTAGCAATACCAAAGTGGAGTTTAAACGAGGCACTGCCATCAACCGATTCAACTTCCAATGAAAGAAGATCACAAATGAGTTCACTCTGAAGTGACCCATGGGTATCAATGCGAGAAGTCTCTGCAAACTATTCACTCATGGCGACCGCCGCGCACACGCGTGTAGGAAATCGTTGATGATGATAGTGATAATGGAGTGGGGGCCAGTAATGCAGATACACTGCTGTGCATTCACTTGCTGCGAAAAGAAACTCTGTATGAATGAGTTGATATATAATGAGTTGTCCACAAACGAGACACTGCTATCAACGCTTGTATAAGTAAAAAGAAACGCTGCTATCGACACTTCCCCCAATACTAAAGTTGTCTTTAAACGAGTCACTGCCATGAACGGCTTCAACTACAGTGTAACGAAAGGAACTGCAGGCTGAGAAGCACCGCAGGCCAACGTGAACCAGTCGTGGTGATGAGGATGAGTGAAATCTGCGATGATGATAGCGATCATGAAGTCGGTTGTAGGAACCCACTTTTGTAGTAACCAACATACACTGGTATGCATTCACTTATGGTGAAAGGAAACTCGGTATCAGTGAGTTGATATAGAATGAGTTGTCCGCAAACGAGACACTGCTATCAACGCTTTTAGAACGAAGCGAACCCATCAGAACACTGTTATCAACGGAAAGAATGCTGTAGAAGGACAAAGCGCTGAATGTACACCGATGTGTTCGACGACTGCGTATGTAATGATGTGACGATATACAGACTGAGCCCTTCGTGAATGTCTACATGTTTTTCTGACGCCTACAAACGGCGCTGACGTGTGTGAGAAAATTGTCCGCGCAGCAAAAGCCGGCGAAGCGTGCAGACAGCCAGCTGCAAAAGGTTGCGAGCGGCTCTTGGAAGACGTTTACGGAACGGAGCTACGGTGTCTGAAAACATTGGCATCGAAGCGAAGAGCCTCGGAGCCCTGCAGCCTGAGAAACACCGCAGGAACTCGCATACTGAAAAGGAATGCATTGCAAACCGCACGTTGCGAACCCTGCAGGCTGAGAAGCACCGCAGGATGTCGCATGCTGAAAAGCACTTGTACTGCAGAGCGCAGGCTGCGAAACCTGCAGGCTGAGAAGCACCGCAGGAACTCGCATGCTTTCGAACACTACTGCTCGAGACCGCAGCTGGAGAGCGGCAGACCGCAGGCTGAGAAGCACCGCGGGCAGAGAGACTTGCAAAACTCAGATGTCCTGATCGTCTTGGAGGAAGTCACGCCAGTCCGGCGGCTGCCAAGAATCGATGATGCGCCTGGAGCCACCGCCCGTGCTGCCGCCGATGTCCAGGTAGTCGCCATCGCCCCTGAACAGACGGCCGTGCCCGCACGCCAGAATCGCTTGGTTGCGGATTTGAAGCAGCGCTCCGCTCTCAAACATCTGCAACACGTCCAGCTGCCTGCGCGTGAAGTTCGGCTTTGCCTGGCCAGCCTGGGCAGACAGATGGAGGGAAAGCCGCTCCCCCTCGTTGTAGCGCGCGATGGCCTCGGCCTTCTGGTGGTGCAGCCGGCGCCGCTGTTGCCGCAGAGCTTCCTCGGGAACTGCTGCATCACGGCCCTCACTGTGATCAGCTTGCAACGCTTGCGTTAACCAATCAACGTCGAAGCGCCCTGAGAAGGCCAGCACCTCCCAGATCTGTTTGGTACCGGCCACACGTTGCAAATGGCGATGCCACCGCTTACGCTTCTGGTCTTTCACAAACTTGGCGACGCTACCCAGACCTGCACCCTTGGCCTGGCCACCTTTTCCCGCAGGCTGAGAAGCACCGTGAGAACCTTTCTTACCGCCTGGCCCTTTGTTCGGACCCTGCGGAACCGCATGGCCCCCTTGTGGCGCAGACTTGCCTTTCGCTTTTCCCTTTTCGATATCCCGTTCCTGAAGCGCACGCTGCTGCCGCGACTGCTCGTACTGGTCGCGAGCTACTCTGACCAATTCCTGGCGCTCAGGCTCCGTGAGAACGTAGCGCATGTCGTCGATGTTCTTGCTCCGCAGAAAGTCATGTCGAAGCTTAAGGACAGAGAGAATGGCTCGGCCAGTCTCCTCCTGAGACGCAAAGGCCGTGTCATATTCCGAGCCAGGCTGAGGAGCGCCAGCTGGATCAGTGTCCGCTGGCTCCGTGGACTTCCTCTTTTTGAAAAGCAAGAGACTGAGATGATGGAGGACTTTCGGATCGTACTCCTCGTCGTACCTGTCGTCCCAAAGCTGCCTCAGCTCCCTGTGCAAGTCGTCCGCGCGATTCTGAACGACATCCTCGACGTAGTCGGGATCACCCGGTGAAGTCGGTGAAAGCGGAGGAGCAGAACTCGGCGACCGATCCCAATGCACAGAAGACTCGCGGTCCGCCTGTACGCTGACGTCGGCGTCGGAGACGTTTTCGACGACAATTTTCCGCCTCTTGCTCTCCCCAGGCTGAATAGCACCAGGGAGAGTGAGCACAACCGCCACCGCATCGTGTGCGTCGTTGCGCATGCCACGATCCGTAAAAGACGCGCCAACGGCAATGGAGCAGAAACGGGCGACTGCTCCGCAGACCGCGACGTGGTCGCCTTTGAGGTCGGCCGGAGTGGCATGGACCTCCCATACCTTCTCGTCGTTCTGCTCGCGCTGGTAAGCCTCCCGCGCCTCCTGGAAAGTGAGGTTGTCGTCGCCGACTACAAGCACAACGACTGCCTCGTTTAGATTCTCAAGAATCTTGGCCAGGCCGTCCAGGTGCAAGCGGAGATGGCGAACTGTCCGCTTTCGAGTCTGGATGCTCGGCGGTTTCTTGCCGCACACGATGTGCATGTTGGCGATCACCACGTGGAACTTGTCATGGCCTGGTTTGTTCACCTCAAAATGTGAAATAACAGCATCAATATCTCGGCCGCTAGGAGGCCTGTAAACTTTGCTGTCTTCGCACAGAGTCAGTTCCGCAGGCTGAGAAGCACCGCGGAACCCCCAGAGAGTCAAGTAGTTGTCGACCTCCAAGAAGCGAATGCCATCACCGAAAGGCTTACTGAGGATCTCTGTCACGTTGATCCCTGCTCGGCGAAAGCCTTCACGGAACGCACCGACCTCGCAGCCACAGACCATATCAGCATCAGCGGTCTCCACTATCTTGGCGCACAACCTTCCGAAGTTAGCGCAGTGAGTGGCCGCCTGCTTACCAGTCATCATGCCCTGCTCGAACCCGAAATTGAACGAGGCGACCGTGAAAGACGCAGGCTGCACAGCGCCAGAACCAGGCGTCTGTCCACCTTCCTCCGCAGGCTGAGAAGCACCGCGAGGCGGCGCAGGCTGAGAAGCACCGCGAGGCGGCGACACTTCGGACGAGCCTCGCGGAGCAGAGGCTGCGGATGAACGTTGGACATGGGGGTACGGCCAGGGGAACGCCATTGCAATCAAAACTCAGTGGACTGCAGTGAATGAATGTAGTGGCCAATTGAATGCAGAGGACTGCAGTGTCACTAGCAAGTCCTGAACCAAACACAGCTGTGGCGGAAGGAATATGAAGCGTCTGGCTATTCAAAATGTTGCCCGGCAATGGAGTTCTGGGAACTCGAAGACCAGGAAGTGGACTAGAGTTGGCTCTGGGCATCCAAAATGTAGCCCAGGAATGGAGTTCTGGGAACTCGAAGAGCACGAAGTGGCTTACAGTTGGCTCCGGGCATCCAAAATGTGGCCCGGGAATGGAGTTCTGGGAAATGGAAGAACACGAAGTGGCCTACAGTTGGCTCCGGGCATCCAGAATGTGGCCCGGGAATGGCGTTCTGGGATGTCGAAGAGCACGAAGTGGCCTACAGTTGCATCCGGCCCCCCAGAATGTGGCCCGGGAATGGCGTTCTGGGATGTCGAAGAGCACGAAGTGGCCTACAGTTGCATCCGGCCCCCCAGAATGTGGCCTGGGAATGGAGTTCTGGGAAGGCGAAGAGCACGAAGTGTGTGACTGTTGGTGAAAAACGAGCCCGGCTCATGCCGCCCGGAAACGCCCCAACACCTGCCCGGACCCCCCTGCGGAGTGATCTGTGAGCTCTTTTTACACCACTAGAAACCTATCAGTCTTCGCTGTTAGGTAACTGCGATGTTCATCGTCCACTGGGCGAGAATCCGAGCTTCTCCAATCGAGCTCCGAGACGGACGGGCTGCCCTCCTCCGCGGTGGTGAAGACATCCCTCAGCAACAGGGAAATCCGACAACGGCGATAAGTCCACTGGAGGGGGCGAAGGGGGTAGTCCGCCACGCAGAGAAATATTCCCATAGCGACAGCGACGCAGTAGAGCTTGAGGAGTAGGGCAGTGCAGTCGCGGATAGGGGCCCGGTGGCCCCCCGGCGCGTACTTGGCCAGCTCCTCCACCCAGCAGGGCAGGGTGATCCAGATGAGTCCCCGCCGCGAGCGGCTGGAAATCTCCCTTGCCTCCAGAACCACCCCACGGCGGCGCCGAGCCCGCCCTTCGGGCCCCCTGGGGTCACGCGGGCGGGGTTCCATCCTGGTGGAGGCGTCGGGGCCCGAGGCCCGGGGCCCCTCCGTCGGTCCACCGGGTGCGCGGATCGCGCCGTCTCCCCGCAGACTCCCTCGCGGGTCTCCGAGGGCTCGAACGTGCGCGGCTGACTTAGTCCTCCACGGCCTTCAAGGGTCCGGCCCAGCCCGAGCCCCCCGCTGGCGCGCCCTTGCGGTTTTGCTCCAGTTCCCCCATGTAGCCGCGAAGGAAAGCGGGGGCGCCCCCGCGCGAGGGAACGGGGGAGGGAGGCGAAACTTCAGCGCCTACGCCATCCTTCTCAGGGAAGGTTCCGACGCGGGCGCTCCCCAATCCTGAAACAGCGACAGGGCGCCACGTGGCGCTCCGAGCCCAGGCGTTCCCGCGGGCTCCCCAGGGGACCATTGAATGTCGGAAAGCGATCTGGGCCCCGCCTGGCACAGAAACGGGCATCAGCGAAAGGAGCGCCCTACCCCGCAACCTCCATGGTGGCCGGGCTGGGCCTGGTCCCCCGATATGCAACGTGACGTTCTGGCGGGACCGAGGTGCCCCACCCCCCGGGGTCGAACTCCCCGCGGGCGCGCGCCGGGCCGAACGTCGGCCCGTGGAAGATGCCGAAATCACGGAGAGTGCCCAACGCAAGATCCCATTAAATTTTCGATCGGGCAAAAGAAGAGCGCAGTTATGCCAGCGATGCTGGGCCACCAGCCTTGCGGGGAACATAAATGCGCCCGCCGACCCGCCGAGGCCGTTGCCGTTCGCCCTGGGACCCCTGGGCTTCGGCAAAAAAATAACGGCGGCCCGACCTTTCCCCAGGGGCAGGAAGATGCCGCGGCAAACGCGAAGCTGAGGAGGACCAGCGGCAAGAGGGCTGAGACAATGGAAGACTCCGCCCGCGTCGAACTGGGAGAGGAAGTTGCTGAACTTGGAGAGGGCCCCGAAGTGTAGGGCAATGCCGCGGGCGAGGTAGCGCTGGCAGAAGGCCCCCCCGATCGCGCGAAGGGCGGTGGCGAGCGTCCTCCCGGGAAACCAAGATGAGCACATTCGCGGCCCTGTCCTGGTGTTCTTGATATTCGACAACTAGTCGCTAGTAGAAGAGCGGGAGCCCGAAGGCGGGCGAGGTAACTTCTTGAACTTCAACTCAATGTCCTGGGTCTTCTCTTGAACGTAGGACGAGACTGGCGGGTCATGATCAGATGTTGGCAGCTGCAATCGAACTTTCGAGGCCGCGCCTTCTGGTCTCTGAAGACTCGCTATTCTTGCTCAAGTAAGGGAAGGCAGCTGGGCATTCGCCCTGCAGTTGGACCATGCGGGAGTGGGCGTATAATGTAGATGCGCATCGTCGTCATCGTAGTCGTGAACTTGTCAGGCCGCAACTGGGTCAGTTCCACATCGTTCCTGACAGACGCGACGTCGGCGGCGCGGGGCGCGACCTGCTCGCGCAGGCCATGCAACGACGAAAGGATCTGGACAATCTTGTAAGTTTGGATCTCCCGCTTGGCCGTCCGATCGCGGCCCTAACAGCTCTTCGAGCGAGAGGCAGCAGAACTGGGGCGCGGAAATAGCGACCATGGCCCACGGCGGCGCTAACTGCGAGTCGGACAACAATCCCCACGCGAAGACATCACAGCAACAATGTGGTAGATAACGGGCAGGGACGGAGATCTGCGCAGAGAGCGTCGCTCATCCTGGAAGCCACCTCGAACCTCGATCCCCTTCGGCATCGAACAAAGTTCAGAACCTTGGGAGCAGGTTTGAGCCTTGAGCCGAAACGGCTCCGGGCGTTCTCGGGGCCCTCTCCGGGCTCTGGGGAGGCCGCCTGGGCCCGCCAGGGCGCTCTCTTGGGGCCTCCTTGGCTGCAGCCGAGCTGCGCGCATCGTCGGGCGATCTTTGGAACCCAATCGGGCTGCTGGGGGGCTATTCGGGGCGTCTGGCCCCGACCCCCCCGCCACCTCTGGCGGCCGCCTGCGTCGCGCAGGACTTCCTCCAGGGTAGGCGGCGCCGGCCGCAAGGCCATCTCAATCGCGCCGTCCAAAATCAGCCGACCCTGTCGGCGCGTGGAAGACGCTCCGCGCCCATTCCCCGCCCCCCTCATCTGGGCCCCCCCCCCCCCCTCAAGTGCGCCGCCCGAACCGAAGCCAAAGCGGAATTGAGCAAAATCGAGCTGAGTCAAAGGCAAAGCCAAATTGTGCAACGTCGCAGCTGAATCGAGGGCAAGCTCCTTTCCTCTGATCCATTCCCCGCCGGGGACGGGGGCCCGGGCGGGGCCCCGATGGGGGGTCGCCACCCAGACGCGCGCCCCCCCGGGCGGCCCCGGGGCCCAGGAAAGCGCCAAGACGCGGCAAGAATCCCTTAAGAGCGGCCCAGAATGGTCCACGAAGACCCCGAATCCGGAAACGATCGGTCCAAGACGCCACAACGGCCTCCGAATGCGTTGCCAAGACGCCGCAGAAAACCTCCAAGAGCACTCCCAAGCGAGACCCGAGGAGGCAAAAATAATCGACTCCCCGTCGGTGTTTGGATCATTCTGGCGCCCGTGCCACCACCGATCCTCGACGCCCCCGCCCGCCCCGGACGCCCCCAAAGTCGCCGCCAGAGCGCCCGACGGGCCTTGAACAGCGCCCCAGAACGACCCCCGGGACTGCCCAGAAGGCCTCCGAGGCGGCCCCAGAAATTCAGAGACGGCCCCGAGAGGCGCCCCGACTGAAGACCCTACAAGCCTTCGGCGCCAGAGGCCCCCGGCCCCCACGAGCCCCCCGGGCGCCCCGTTGGAACCGCCAGGAAGCCCCAGGTGGTCAAAACTCGCGGAGGTCATTGGGCACCTCTTGGGGGCCTCGCGTAGCATCTTGGGCGCTCTTGGGGGCGTCTGACCCCCGCCTCCCCGAATGCCCCTTCCATCGTTGGGGTCGTCGTCCAGGGTCGGCGGCGCCGGCCGTCGGGCCTCGGCAATCTTGGGCGCGCGCTCTTCGTCGACCTTTGAGGGCCCCGACGCGCCCCCGAGCTTCCGCGGGCCACTGGGGCCATCGGGGGATAGGAACCTTCCGCACGGCAGCTGGCAATCCGACGAATTATATGAGATGTGCCTTCTTCAAAGCGGAGGTTCGACCTCCCCTCCGGAGGCTTCTTCTATCCATCCTGGAAGTTTCCTGTTCCTGCGGGGGGGCGCTCGACCACTTGAATGGAGGTCATCGATCATCTGGGAAATCGCGGTGGCCACCTGGGGCCCCATCGCTCGGAAGAAGCGGGGAGACGCATGGCGAGACGATTCGTTTTTCTAGCGGCTAACGTTCCGCGCGACAGGAACCCCGGCGGTCGCGGTGCCACCCGCGCTGCCAAACAAGGAGACCAGTCGAGCTCGGATCCAATAATCCAACCTCGGTGACGCTCGACGGTTCGACTCTCGCATCCACCCCTAGCCGAAGAGGGCGGCGCGCGGGCGGGCGATGAAGAGGAACGGGCGAGGCCTGAGAACATATGGTTATGGACATAGAGAGGGATTCTGAACCTGGCCTCGGCGCCCCCAAAAATTTGCGCGTCGTCATTGTGCTGCGCACGCCCATGACGAGACGATCAGTTTCTCTAACAGTTTACGCGCTGCGCAACGGGAACCCTGGCGGTCGCGGCGCCGCCCGCGCTGCCAAACAGGGAGGCCAGTCGAGCTCGGATCCAATAATCCAACCTCGGCGACGCTCGACGGTTCGACTCTCGCATCCACCCCTAGCCGAAGAGGGCGGCGCGCGGGCGGGCGATGAAGAGGAACGGGCGAGGCCTGAGAACATATGGTTATGGACATAGGGATTCTGAACCTGGCCTCGGCACCCCCAAAAATTCGCGCGTCGTCATTGTGCTGCGCACGCCCATGACGAGACGATCAGTTTCTCTAACAGCTTGCGCGCTGCGCAACGGGAACCCTGGCGGTCGCGGCGCCGCCCGCGCTGCCAAACAGGGAGGCCAGTCGAGCTCGGATCCAATAATCCAACCTCGGCGACGCTCGACGGGTCGACTCTCGCATCTACACCAAATCTGCCCCCAAACTGGCGCGGGCCAGTTCGCGCATTTCAAGGAAGCGACCGCGCAGGGGCCAGGATGGCACCCGCGACTGCGAGGCAGAAAGTTGCGGGGGCAACACAGGGTGCAGCCGTCTCTGCAAACCGCGGAATCGAAGCCCGTCGAGATCGCGAGCGCTAATTCCCGAGCAGGGAAAAAAGCAGAGGCAGGCGGTGCTTGCAGCCGAAAACACTTAAAGTACTTGCGATGCAGACGCGGACTCGCCCACGGAATTTCCCCAGCCGCGGCCCCTCGGCGGCGTGGCAATCGCAGTGGGTGCCAGGGTGGGGAACGCACAATTTCTCGCAAGCGCGAAGCACACGAGAACCTGATCACACCTAGCACTTGCCAGCGAAAGATATCTGACACCAACGAGCTGGCATGTAAGTCACACGGCAAAAGAGGCGGGCATCTCACTTGGAACCCTCCCCTGCTAAGGACCCCCCCCAGGGCGCGGCTGCGAGGCCCCCGCGCGGCGACCCAGCTTCGGGGGGGCAGCGGGCAAAGCCTGGCCACCTAGCAAGATTTCTCCGAGACGCTCTTCGCACTGCTTGGCGTGGCTCTAGAAGGCTGCAGGCAACTGTTTCCAAGTCTTGCTCAGCAGGGCTTCCTTCTCGTGCCGTCGCAGGCTCTTGTCGGCATTCCAAGCCCCATTGCCTCTTGATCGAGGCCATGTCTCGCAGCCCCATCAGCTGTCGTCGGAGGCCCCTGGGTGTCTGGCCCGGCACGGCACCGCGCTGATACGGAGGCGAAGCGCGGCCGCCTTGATGAAGGCTCGCGCCAGCCCAGGGTAGCTGAAACGCCGCAGCGGCTGGTCAGCTGCCCGTGCCTTGAGCACCTCCAGCAGGCCATGCAGCGGCATCCACAACTCGCGGTCCAGCATGCAACTCTGGTCGCACCCGTTCGCCCTGTCGCCCCCCCCCCGAAGGGGTTCAGGGTGACTCCCCAGCGGCCGCGCGCCGAGTTGGATCGGATGAGGTCGTCTGGCCCACTCGCGAGCAAGCTGCCTGGGCGACAGCACGTGCTCCGCATCGCCAGCGCAAGAAGGCCCATCTCCAGCTCGTCGTCGTCCACGAGCGCGTTGACGACGGCCGCCCACACGGGAAATCCATGCGGCACTCGAGCAAGAGGCGGCACGGCATTCACCCAATTTCTGAGTACCGCCAACTCCGCGGCAGCCCCTGGTTGCCCACCGCGCCGAACTGCCGCGCGTAGAGGGCCGCCGCCACCGCCCCCTTGGAGGGCGCTTCGCCCCGCGGCCGCGGCTCCTCGAAGTGCATCGCCAGCAGCGAATCGAGCCTCTCGGAGTCGACGTCCCGCGCCCGCTGGACCTCGGCCCACTTCGCGAAACCGTTGAGTTCCGTCGCGCAGTGCTTCTCGGCGCGGGCGCGCGCGGCCCGCTGCTCCAGCGCGCTCAGCCCACGCAGCTGCGAGTCTCGCCCCAGCAGCTCCTGCAGCCCGGCTCCAACCGTCGCCCCCCGCGCCGCTGCAGCTGGCGAGCTCGTTCGGGCACGCCGCCCCGCCCGTCTGACTCGCTCGACGCGGGGCCCGACGGCGCGGTTCGCTTCTGCCCCGAGCCGTCGGCGTCTGGCCGCCCGATGCCGCGGGGCTCCGCCGCCAGCTCCGCCGGCTATTTGAGCGCGGGGCAAAACGGCCTTGAGCCTGGGAGGGCACCGCGGCCCCCGCGCCCCTTCGGCGGCCCGCGGGCTGCCTCTGGACGCTGGCGTGCACTGGTTCGCGGCAGCGTTCGAGCTCGTCTCCCAGCCGGCACCAGTGAGCTCCGCGAAGCAGATGACGAGGCCGCGGCGCGCGGCTGGAGCCTCTCGCGGCGGGCAGCCCCTGGAAGGCTCGGCGCCGCGCCTGCTGCAGCTCTCGTCCTCCCGCGGGTCGACGCACGGTAGAAGGGCATTCCGACGCCCGAGGAACTTCGGGTCCGAAAAGGCCACGGTAGGATGATGACGAGTGCCGCACCCCTGTTCTTGACAGGGCGCGGGTTCAAAACGTCGCTAAGCCGACGGAGCTGGGCGTTACTGGGCCTTGCAGGCCTGCGAGAAACAAGCTTGGCAATCTTTTAAACTCGCACCTGGGGTGCGACTTGAAAACGGGGGTCAGAGGCCCCCCTTCCCAATGTCCTCGATGCAATGCACTGCGCCATCTGAGCGGTTCAAACTTGTCGGCGGCCCGCCAAGGGCCACGTCAAGAAGAACCTCACCAGGGCTAGTTTTCGGCCCGCTGGCGCTCCCCGATGAGGGCTCGGGACAAAACAAACGTGAAGGCCAGTCAGCAGGATGAGGCTTCGATTGAATCCACCCGGCTATAAAGCGAACGCCCGTGGCAAGGCAAAGGCAGGCAAGTCTGATCACGATCGGCAGAAGTCTGAAATTCTTGGCGCGCCACCTGTCACAACAAAGAACGAGGGCCAGATTGTCGCAGAAAATGAGCCGTCTCATGTGCCGACCTGGGCTGGCGAGCAGAATGCGCTCAACGCCGAGGATAAGGGCCCGTGCTTCGAACAGGAGAATGTTCCAGATCGGGCTGAAAGGCCAGCCTCCGCAAACATGCCAAGCATCCCCATCGAGATCCTCAGCGCGGATCTCCTCATAATCAGCGGCCGACTCGAGCCCCCGGGCACCGGCCGCTCCCGGCTGCCTCAGCCCGCGCAGGTCCGCGTCGGGCAGCGCCTCTCGCAGCGCCGCCCCCCGAGCCCGAACATGCCCAGGACGTCGCGCGCGGCCCCGCTCGCGCGCGCGGCCGCGGCGAGCGGCGCGCTCGGCCCCTGGCGCGCGGAGGCGCAGCCCGAAACAACCCTCGCGGGCGAAGGCGGCGCAGGCAAAGCCGTTCCACTTCAGCTCCCAGGAGACCACCGCCGTCACGAGCAGCCCAAGGAAGCAGGTGAGCTCCTGCCTGGCGCTCCGCTAGAGCTCCGCGGCCTCGCAGCAATGCTTCCGCGCGCAGCTGTAGACCGCGCCGAAGCATGAGGGGCCCCTCCTGCGAATGGGGCCCGCGAAGGTGCAGTGCCCGACCGCGATCTCCAGCGCCTGACCGCTCGCGAGCCGCCGCTGCAGCAACCCGCGCAACGCCTGCCGAAGCCGCCGGCAACGTCGGCAGCTCAGCCGCGCGCGGCGTCTGCCAGCGCCCAGCGCAACGCCCAGCGCCTCGACCTCGCCATCCGAGGTCTCCAGCTCGCGCGCCTCGAGGCCCCGCTATCGAAATTGGCCGCCAGCTGCTCCGCGGCCCCCTCGACCACCCGACGGCGCTGCCCCTGCGCGCCCGCGCTGTCGACGAATGCGCAGCGGCGCACCTGCTTCCCGTAACTTGGCACCTTAGGAGCAGCGGCCTCGCATAGTCGACCAGCAGTTCGCGCCGATCGACCGCCGGCGCCGTCGCCTCCTCGTCGACGCCCCGGGCGAAGAACAGCGACCAAGCGAAGCCCGTCGGCGACGCGGCGGCCGGCCGCGCCGCCTCGTCCGAGGGAGGGGGGGGCTTCGCGCCGCCGAACTGTCGGAGGCCTAGCTCGCCGGCCAGCGATGAGGGAAGTCCGAAGTACTCGCGCAAATGCTCGGGCATCTCCACGCGATGCAAGGCGTCGGCGACGTCCGCGGCCCCAACGGCAAACTGCGAACCATCGGGGGTCGCCCCTGACCTCCATGCCACCGAGGCCCTCGGCCGTCAAAAGATTCGCATGGGGAGGAATGCGGAAACGGGCGTTCGCCCTGCGGGCGTCCAGGATCACCCTCAGCTGCCCCGACTTCTTCGCCGCGGGAAACAGCCCAACTCGTTCGCGACAAAAAGAACTTGACCAGCCCATGCCCATGCAAACCCTTGAGAAACTGTGCGTGCTTCTTGCGATTCCGCGCAAGTGCGGGACCCACGTAACACAGAATGTCTTGCAACTCAGCCCCAGTTAATCGTTGATCGGCAGGCAGGCGCGCGCGCCACCCCCCCCCCGGAAATATCTACCTCGGGCGCCGACGAGCTCCCAGATCTGCGCGCGCACAACAGCACCCGAAGGCAACGATGCCAGGTCCCGCTTGAGGGGGGCCGGAGCAGTTGGGGCGAAGTTGGCGTTGGCGCAGCCGCCCCCCCGCCCTCGGAGCAACTTGATCAGGGCCGCCTCCGCGGCCAAGTGTTGGGCCTCGTCGCCGCCGGGCTGCCGAGGCATCGCCGGCCCCTCCAAGCAGCGCCTCATAGAGCGCCTGGTAGAGTCCGCCATCGCCGAGGTCAGGCCGAGATCGACCGTCTGCTGGTTCCTCGGCTCGGTGGGGCGGTGCCCACTCAATCAATTCAGTGCGTCAATAGCTTCCGCCACTAGCGCGGGTGGCACCTCGCGCGCTCGACCCCGTCGCCGCTGCTTCTTGCGGCCGACCGACCGGGCGGGCTGGGTCTACATGCAGGGCAGGCAACGGAAAAAGCAGCCGCCGCCCGTCGGCCGCCTGACGCGACCCGCCCCCCGCGCCCACAGGGCCACGCCTGGATTTCATAATCGCGGCCCTCTCCCCTCATCATGGCTTGTCCGCGGGCGTGCCTCGCCCGCCGCGAGCCGCCCCGCGTCCGTCTCCTCGCCCTCGCCCTCGCCCGCGGCCGCGGCCGCCGGCCGCGTCGCCGCCCATGTCCTGGTCCGACTTCTCGATCAGCGGCAACGCCCCGTGCGCTCTGGCGCGGGTCGTGCAGCAGTCGTGCTCGTCCTTGTAGCGGCGGGCCCCCCGGGAGCCCAACGGTGGATCGACGGCCTCCAGGCCGAACGGGGCGCCCTCGCGCGCGTTCGCCAGCCTCCATGACTGCAGCCAGCCGTCTGCCCAGCCGCCCGGCGCCCGCCAGGGGCGGCAAGGCCATCTGGTCGTGGGTGGCGAATGGGTGGGGCGCCTTCACGATGGCCTGAAGCTCGTGGGCCACTCTCTCCGCCCGCGAGATGTTGTTCCCCCTCGGGAAATCGACCAGCCACTTCCCCAGGCCGCCGCGACGCCTCTCGGCGTGGAGCAGGAGGTGCGACAAGCAACCGGGGCCCTCGATGTCACGGCGATCCAGGGGCTCTGGCGTCATCTCAGCGGTGAATTTCCTGCAGCTCTTGTCGCGCCGTCCGAATTCATCGTAATCCACCCAGAGCGCGCGGCCGTCATCCCCAGCGGCCTCGGCGGTCGCGGGGCCCCCGGCCTCGAGTTCCTTCCGCCCACTCACCATCTCTGGGGCGTCCGCGAGCGCGGACTCGTCGTGCCAACGCGGTTCCGTCCTGTAGGTGTCCAGCAGCCGCCTTCTGAAATCGGGGATTTCTGACCTCCTCATCAGCACTGCCTTGAAATAGCTACCCGTGTCGAGAGCGAAACCGACGCCCTCCGCGTAGGTGAGATTGCCCTGCCGCAACTCTATCGGATCCCCCAGACGAGCACTGCCGCCACTGACGTCAGCCATCACCCACACGTGGCCCTCGGGCGGCTTCGCGGGGGCGTCGCCGCGCCGTCAACCGCGTCGGCCACAGGCACGGGCGCTTCCGCAGGCTCGCCGCCGCTGTTCGAAGGCAAACGGCGAGTGGGCCCGATCAGGCCATCAGCCGTCAGCATCCTGGGCACAGACGGCGGCTCGAAACCCAGCTCCTCGTAAGTCGCCAAGCAACTCATCAACTCTCGTCGGATCGTCTGCGTCGTCGGGTAATCCTCCTTCTGAAGCTTGTAGGAAAACCCGCGAAGCGACCTAGGCACCTCCGCGGCATCATTCATCATGACGAACTGTTCCATATCCATGTTGCCTTCGCTGTGCTGCTCCTCGTAAGTCATCAGACATAGGGGTCATGCTCCGCCAGATCGTCGCCATCTTGGACCCGCTGGCACCCACAGACCCGAGCAGCAGTCGCTCATGGTAAAAGTCCTCGCCCGCCGCCGAATACTTCAACCCCACAGACCTCCCAGGAATCAGGTCACGCCCGAATTCCTCGGCCGAGCAACGCTTCCCGTCGGGCCCCAGGAACCTCCCTACGGGCAGCCTCCGCGCCATGCCTCCGACTAAGGACACCATCGGTCAGCTGTCCGAAGAGCGCAGACGCGAGGTGGCCCGCCGCGACGCCGCCCCAGCGAAAAGCCTCGGCCCCAGCCTCGGGGTAAGGGGGGCAAGCCGCGCAGCTGGCCGCGACGGCAGCCTCTGGCGGCTCGCTGGTCCAGTTGCCCTAGCACCAGCAGAAAGGCGAGCACTGCGCGCATCGCAAGCTCTAATAAAGAGAAGCAAGCGATGCTTGAGAACATATGGTCGTGGACATAGAGAGGGATTAGGAACCAGGCCTCGACATCCCCAAAACTTCGCACGTCATCTTCGTGCTGCGCACACCCATGAAGCAGGAAGGCGCTGAGTTTAGACTTGGCTTCCGCCTGCCCCCTGAAGAGGAAGTAGGAAAAGACCGGTTCGATGATTGAAATAGGAAGGCGCCTCAAGTAGATTGGGACATGGGATTGCAAGGATACCGACCTTCAACAAAATATGAATACATGTATCCGCCGGCCCCCTTGTGGGGCCACCAGGCTGTAGGCGCGAGGTTCGCAGTTTCGTGTACCAGATGTAGCTTGTAGTTTCCAGTGTTACAGTTCTGCTTATTGCTGGTTACTGTAACTAGTTGATTGACCGCGCGAGGGGGGGGGAGGCCCAAACCATATTTTTTAGCACCCCCTGGGCGCGTTGTCTGAATTGCTGGGGGGGCTCGAAATCGACACCCCTCACGCAGATCCGCGGGGTCAGGGTCCAAAAACACATGGGATTTGCCACATTTCTGAAATTCGCTGCCACCCCTCACGCAGATCCGCGGGGTCAGGGTCCAAAAACATAAAGGATTTGCTACATTTCTGAAATTCGGTGCCACCCCTCACGCAGATCCGCGGGGTCAGGGTCCAAAAACACAGAGGATTTGCCACATTTCTGAAATTCGGTGCCACCCCTCACGCAGATCCGCGGGGTCAGGGTCCAAAAACACAGGGGATTTGCCACATTTCTGAAATTCGGTGCCACCCCTCACGCAGATCCGCGGGGTCAGGGTTCAAAAACACAGGGGATTTGCCACATTTCTGAAATTCGGTGCCACCCCTCACGCAGATCCGCGGGGTCAGGGTCCAAAAACACTGGGGATTTGCCACATTTCTGAAATTCGGTGCCACCCTTCACGCACATCCATCGCAAGGCGTGGTAACCCAAACTGCGAGAACTCCCTCGGCCCTTTAATCGCAAGGTGTGGTAACCAAGCCCGTAAACCATACACGTCTTACCAATCGCCAGGTGTGGTAACCCCTCTTGTGATCAGTTGGTTTTGCTGATTGCGAATCGGCTTCGCATGAAGTTTCGATACTGCTTCACGACAGCGCCAAGACCTCATGACTTAGCTCTTCCATGGCCCATTCTCCGAGAGAGGGGGCCGGCGGCAGGGGGCGAAGCCCTTACGGATAACTTCGGACGTCCGACCGGATCTCGTGCATCGACGCTGGGTCCCCCCTGGTGGCGCCTCTGGCGGCGCCCATTGCGCGCTAAGCGCGCCAGAGGGCTGGGTGGAGTCCAAGGCCCATCCGAGAAATCCGCGCGGACCTCCGAGAGTTCCCAGAGTTCCGCAAACCTCCATCCTGGACGCCGAACCTCCAGTATTCCGGTAGGGAGACGCCTCCAGAATGGAGGAAAAAACGCCACCAGACCGGAGGTCGAGCCTCCTGTTTGCACGGTGTTGATCCTCTGGGCTTTTGCTTGTCGGGCGCACACTGACATGGATTGTGGATTTTGCATCCGTGGATCTGGCGCGTGCGCCCCCCCCCCGAAAAACGAGGCTAATGCGGCCTGGATTGGCGACGAAGCACGCCGATTTAGCACGACAGGGGAAATCGTCGCCCACCCACGCGCGTTGATCCATGTTTGCTCGGAAGAAGGCGAGTTGCGACAACGGCAGCTCAAAATCGCCACCGGACCCCTCCTAGGGTCCAAACGCACCAGTTTCCCGAGCAGCGTCCAGCCTTGGCGACCAGGCCCCACCCCCCGAAGGCCAACCACCGTTGTCTCAGCGTTCCGGCTCCTCGAGCCTGTGCCGCCCTCTCTCTTCCCCGAGGGGTCGGGCCGCCGCGTGCCAGGACACCGCGGCAAAACCCGGCCGCGTGCCGCGCGTCGGCAGGTCGAGGGGGCCGGTTGCGGGGGTGGCCGCGGCGCTGAGCAGAGGGCGGTCGCGGCAGCGCGGCGGCGGGAGCCCGCGGCCTCGGGGTTCTCGAGGATCGGGGAGGCGTGCGCGCAACGCGGGAGCGAGGATGAGGAGAGAGGGGGGCAGGGAGGACAGAGGAGGTCGTCGTCAAACGTCAGGAAGGGCAGTTCGCCGTCCACGAAATACATGGCCACAGACCCTGATACCTGGAGAGAGAAAAGAGAATGAAGAGCACCGACGATTCGGAGAAGCAAGGAGGAAGGAGGAAGGAAGAGGGATGGAAGAGGAAAAGGGACCCACAATTGGACTCGCAGAATAAGAGGCCGCGCGGGGCGGTGACCGCCCCGCCGCGAGCGCCACCACCCCCAAAGGGCCTGCGGGCCAATGCAGCTGGGGTCTGCGGGCGAGCGCCTTCCAGGGATCCGCCTGCCTGCACGCGCGGGCCTCTCGCCCCCCCCCAATCACCCCGAGGAGCGGAGGAGGAGGAAGAGAGGGAGGGAGGAAGGGAGGGAGGGAGGGAGCTAGGCTGGCCTGTGGTTGTGCGTGGTGCGTGGTTGCAGTGCCGTGGTGCGTGGGGCGGGGCGGTGCTAATGTCCGCCCCCATGATCCCACCAATTCAATCAACCAAATCGTCGCTGGCGTTTGGAACCACCGGGAGGCAAGGCGGGGTTGGCCCACGTGCGTGCGGTAAGACGTCAGCCAAGCGCCAGCAAGGGTGTGAGGAGAAGGACAAGGAGGAGGAGGAGGAGGAGGAGGAGGGGCAGGAGGAGGAGGAGGACGGGGAAGAGGAGGGGCACGGGCGCCGTGCGACGACCCTCATGGCGGCCCAGGGAGCCCTCAGATCTCTGGCGCCCCCGAGATGCCTGGGAGCTTAAAGGACAATTATCCTGGCGAAGGACCCAACCATGTGCAGCTGTGTGTAACGCAGTTGTGGGTATCGTCCTCGGCGAACCTCTCTTTAGGGCCACGACGCGTGTGACGGATGTGCCAAAATTGGCACGGGTACGCCATGCGGACGCTGCCACCAGAGCCGTCGGTGCAGCCCCATGTGAGGCCACGAAACGTGTGAGGGGTGCGCCGAAATGGGGGTGGAACTGCGTGCGGACCCTGCCACTAGGGCTTTTGGGGGGCCACGAAATGTGGAAGGGGTGCGCCGAAATGAAATGTGAAACTGCATGCGGAACCTGCCTCTATGGGGCCACGAAACGTGTGAGGGGCGCGCCAAAATGGAGGTGGAACTGCGTGCGGACCCTGCCACTGGGGCCTTGGGTGGAGCACCCTATGGGGCCACGAAGCGTGTGAGGGGTGCGCCGAAATGGGGGTGGAACTGCATGCGGACCCTGCCACTTGGGCCTTGGGCGGAGCAGCCTATGGGGCCACGAAACGTGTGAGGGGTGCGCCGAAATGGACAAGCGGAGGGCAGAGGCAAGGGAGGGGAGGAGGGGGATGGACGAGGGGGAGGTGAGGTGAGACGCGGGGCGCTGTCTTTTCAAAAAGACCCAATACCACAAGATGGTTGGGAAAAAAAACCGGAATGGAGGCCCGACCTCCAGAGTGGAGGTTTTCTTCCTCAATCCAGGAAGCTCTTCGCCTCCAGAATTCGGAGCAGGGCGAGTTGAGATAACGGCAGCTCAAAACTGGTCCCCGGACCCTCCCGGGGTGGAAAGGCACCACTTGTCCGAGCTGCGTCCAGCCGTTGTGACGAGGGCCCCCCCGAAGGCCAACCACCGCTGTCTCAACGCCCTCCTCTGAAGAATGGAGATCCGACCTCCAGAATCTCTGGGAGCCTCCCCTGGCTGCGATCCCCCGAACGGATGATTTTCCTACTTCGCATTGTGCCAGGAATACACCCCACAATATGTGAAAAAGTGCATCTGCAAAGGAGCTTCGCAAGTAGGGCCGATCCTCTGGGAGCCTCGAGACCCCAGAGGGGCCCGGGCGGCGGCCCCCCCTCGGCGGCGCCCGCAAGGCCTGCACGGGCCCGCCGTGCGCCGCGGGGAACCCGGCGGTGATGCGCGCGACCTCGCCCAGGTCCTCGGGGAGGCCCCCCTCCTCCTCCTCCCGATCTTCCACCTCCTCCTCCTCCTCCTCCTCCTCCTCCTCTTCCACCTCCTCCTCCTGTTCCTCTTCCTCCTCTTCCTCCTCCTACTCCTCTTCTTCCTCCTCCTCCTCCTCCTCCTCCTCCTCCAGAGGGTAAACGGAACCAAAAAATGGAAGACAACCCAACGGAACCATAACTCAACCACGGAACCAAAACGCAGCCATGGAACCGCTTTGCGCGAAGATCATGCAATGGAACCATTTTGCGCGATAACATACAGTGGAACCGTTCTGCGCGAACAACGTTACATGCGCATGCTATAGAACATGCGCGGCGCAACGCAATATAACACATGCTACATAACATGGCATAGCGCCCATATGGTGCGTAACATCACAAAACATTCATATGATACATATCATGATAACATACAATGGAACCGTTTTGCGCGAACAAGTTTACATACGTATGCTATAAAACGTGCACGAACAACTCTGCGCGAACATCACATACCATAGCTAGCATGATCTGCATGTATTGCGTGTTTTTTTTTATCATGCGCGGTGTCGGCAACACACTTCATATGGGGCATCCGTCTACGAACAGTGCCTGAACAGTAGCGCTTCCCAATCGTTGGCGGGCATATGCGTTCTTCCTACATGCAAGTCACGAACGTGCTGTACGCAGTCTCACTTTATCCAGCTCTAAGTGGATAAAGACAGTTCTCCCGTCGCCCCCGTCCCCCTCCTCCTCGTCATCCTTTTCCTCGCCCTCCCCCCCCTCGCCCTTGCCCTCGTCGTCGCCCCCCCCCCCGTCCTCCTGGGAGGCGGGGGAGTAGGAGGAGCAGGAGGAGGAGGAAGATGAAGAGGAGGAGGGGGAGGAGGCGGGGGTGGAGGAAGAGGAGGAGGAGGAGGAGGAGGAGGAGGAGGAGGATGGGGAGGAAGGGGAGGGGGAGGAATATATTTTCCAAGAGTAAATGCAAACGTTAAATCGCATGACCAATCATTTGTACGAAGCGCTTGGGGCCCTGGCCCCCTGCGTTGCTCTGGCGATGATTATCCCCGTCCTCCTCCCCCCCGCTTCCCCCCATGTCATGATTCTGCCCGCTGAAGGCGGGGGAAAAACGCACGAGCGCTCACGAGGCGCCTTGGGCCCCGTTTCGCTGATCGCCCTCAGCGCCCGCGGATATCAAACGTGCGATGCGGAGGAGGAGGGGGGAGGAGGATAATGAGGAGGACCAGAGTGAACCCAGGATTCATGAACGATGCGGCAATATACCCTCCCGTCCCAAGTCTCCTCATAAGTCTTTTAACTCATTCACAATGAATGCGGGAGCTGCCCCCCAGTGAAAGACGAGCGTCCAATGGGCATGTGATTTGGCATTCCTCCTCCTCCTCCTCCTCCTCCTCCTCACCCTCCTCCTGCGATATGACATGCGCGATCAAACGCGATGTATAGCAGTCATCCTCCTCCTCCTCCTCATCCTCCTCCTCTCTCCTCCTCCTCATGCTCCTCCGCCTCCTCATCCTTCTCCTCATCCTCCTCTATCCCCCCCCCCCCCACCCACGTCATCCTTCTCCTCCTCCTTCTCTCATCCTCTTCCTCCTCCTCCTCCTCCTCCTCCTCTCCTCCTCCCTCCTCCTCCTCCCCCTCCTAATCATCCTCCTCCTCATCCTCCCTCCTCCTCTCCTCCTCCCCCCTCCTCCCCCTCCTCCTCCTCCTCCTCCTCCTCTCTCCAACTCTCTCCTCCTCATCATGCTGCTCTCTCCTCCTCCTCCTCCCCACCCCCTTACCTCCTCGCTCTCTTCCTCGATGGATGATGATAGGAACGCGCAAGAGGCAGCAGGAGGGAGCAGTGCGGAGCAAGGATGCGGGCGAGCCAGCGCTCGCGAGGCGCCTATAGGTATCCTGCTCCTCCTCCTCCTCATCATCGTCATCATCATCATCATCATCATCGTCCTCTCTCCTCCTCCTCCTCCTCCTCCTCCTCCTCCTCCTCCTCATCACCCTCCTCCTCATCCTCCTCCTCCTCCTCCTCCTCATCATCATCATCATCATCATCATCATCATCGCCCTCCTCCTCCTCATCCTCCTCCTCTTTCTCCTCTCTCCTCATCCTCCTATCTCCTACCCCTCCTCCTCCGCCTCCACGTCCGTATAGAGATAGGAAGCAGGAGGCAGCAGGAGGAAGCATGGCGGAGCTAGGAAGAGGCATGCATTATCTCGCACGCAACGCGGGCCGCCAGCGCGCGGCCGCTGGTCGCCGTCGCGGCGCGGGCCAGCCAGCGCGCGGCCGCGCGCCCTTTGCACTGTCAGCGCCTTCAGCGCTGCTTTCAGCGCCCTTTGCTCTGCGCAGCGCCCTTTGCACTGCTCAGCGCCCTTTGCACTGCTCAGCTTTCAGCGGCCGAGCGCCCTTTGCACTGCTCAGCGCCCTTTGCACTGCTCAGTGCCTTTGCTGCGCCGCGCCTTCAGCGCCGTGCTGCTCTGCTGCTTGAGCTGCTGGGCTGATTGTAAAGCGCCTGCTGCCTCCTGATCTCGTCAACGATGGGTTCTGGCAATGGTATTGGAGCTCTCGTGATCCACTCGTCCTTCTCAATCCAATTCTGAACCTCGTCCGCAAAGCCGATACTCATGTCGAGAAGACTCTTCACCCATTGTTCCTTGAGCTTGACCCCCAGACAAAGCCTCTTCGCGAGCCATGTATGCTGCTCTTTCGTGAACTTTACCAAACGCCTTTTTTCGGGCTGCTCCTCATCCCTGCTCCTTTGTGAAAACGGCGAAAACGCTGAGGTCAGCCAGTCAGGAGCATCTTGAAGCAGAAACTCGGCCTTCTTCAATGCTTCAAGTTTTCGCCTCGCTGCGTCGGCAAATCCCTCCTTGGGCAGCTCGCGAGAAGGAGGCGGTGGAGGCGGCGGCGGCGGTGGCGGAGGAGGGTTCTTCTTCTGAGAAGGGCTCTCCTCCTCGGTCGGGCTTCCAGGAGGAGTAGGAGAGCGTTCGTCGGGCGACCAACACACGCCAGCGCGTCTCTCCTCAGAGCGTCTCGCCTTTTCATACTGTGCAAGCCAGTACTCCTTAGATCCCTCGGTGTACTTCGTCTCACCACCTGCCAACCCCCCTTCGGAACTGCCTTTACCAGCCCGATCTTCAATCTCAGCTTCAGCCTCCTGTCGGGGCCTACTGCGAGACCTATTCTTTCCATTGCAAGCCCACTGCAAAGAAGGCAATGCTATGGTCCAGCGAACTCTCGCGGCCCTCTTTCTCGAGATGCTTCGGCTCTTGAGGACAATTGTGGGCTCTTTCCGGACCTCTTTCGGATCTCTGGCTTTCTTGATATCTTTGTCGCCCCGCTTTCTTGACTTCTTTCGGGCCTCTTTCGGCTCTCGGACCTCTTTCGGCTCTTTCGGCTCTTTCGGACCTTTGGCTCTCGGACCTCTTTCGGCCTCGGACCTCTTTCGGCCTCTTTCGGCTCTCGGACCTCTTTCGGCTCTCGGACCTCTTTCAGCTCTTTCGAACCGCTTCGGACCTCTTTCGGCTCTTTCGGCTCTCTTCGGCTTTCTTTCGACTCGCTTTGCTTCGGCTTTTCGTCGCCGCCTCGGCCCCTGTTGGACCTGCTTCGGCTTCTTGTCTGCAACTCCCTGATGTCAGGCCACCGTTGGCCCCTGCTTTTCTTCTTTGGCATCGGCCAGGGCCGACCAGGGCCCAACCGGGGGCCCCCCCAGCTTGCATGGCGGCGGAGCGGCGGAGGCAATTGCACCTCCCACTGCGACATCTCCCCCACTCCACATGGTCCCACCCCGCGTTTCCACTCCTCCTCCTTCTCCTCCTTCTTTGCCCATTCGCCCTCGCCTCGCCATGGCCCCCCATGTACCACTCCCGCCCTCCCCGAACAAAGTTGATGCCCTCCCAACATGCCCACGGGGCCAAATCGAGCCAATGAAATCCCAATGAAATCCCAATGACACCCAATGAGCTCGAACTCCAGAGCAGCATGAAATCAAGCCAATGGAATCCAAATGACGACCCAATGACACCCACTGAGCTCGAACTTCACAGCCACATGAAATTAAAATCATCATTTTCCCGCGGCAGACACATGCATCGAGACGTTCAGAGAGCGCGCAGGGAGAGAATCATGAAAAAACGAATGTCAGTCTGGCTCTTTGCATCTTTCCACGCCAAGTAAACAGCTTTACCGAACATCTTCGGATAGTGTTCAGTTGCTTTCAAATCCTGCAGCGCGCAGACGAGGGAAAGAGAGAGTGAGAGGGAGCGAGAGGAAGAGAGAGAGAGAGAGAGAGAGAGAGAGAAAGGGGGGGAGGGAAAGATAACGTGAGAGAGAGGGAAACAGAGAGTGAGGGGGATATATATAGATAATGAGCAAGCGAGCGGCGTCCTTGCCACCCACAATCCAGCCACCGTTGGTCACGTAATGAATGTGTTCTGCTTTCTTTTTAATTACAGGCTTTGTTTTGATGAGCGGCTTCCATGTCGATGCAGGTAAAGTTGTAGCTATATTAATGCATTTTGCAATTGCTGGGTCGTCTGTAAAGCCCCCAAGGTAGGTGCGAAACGTCATCGCAGAACATAAGTCGAAGGCAACCTTGATAGCAGGGAAATCGTACATGCAAGATTCCTGCGGCTTTTCCACAACCCAGTGCACTTTGCGGATACGTGCCAGGTGAAGCAACCAGCTTAAAGCTTCTACTGCAACATTAGCTTCGTGGACTTGCGGGATATCCTGCCCGTCACGGCGTTCAAACATTGCGCGATATCACCCCAATGCACCACCTCGACTGCACTCATGCCGTCATTGCCGACATGCCGCTCGCAACGCACGCTGCACTTGCTTCGACCACCCCTGGCCCCGTCCCCGTCGTTGCCAAATAATCGGTACGGCGAACGCCCGTGCCACCCCGCAGATATAAACCGCAGCCAAGTCGAACACTCAGGCTGAGCACGGGGAGGGGGATGGCGACATCACTACAGGTGAGTA